GTAATACTCCAGTGAGATTTTTGTATGCACAAGGAGTCTGACAACAACTAGTGCTCCACACAGAGATCTGATCTCACCATATATATATATATATATATATATATATAAGGTTGTAGTGCTTTTCTGGGAACTGAAAATCAAGCCAGAAAAGGAGAGATAAGATACGTGTGAAAGAAAATTTGAGTGGAAGTACGAGAGAAGTGAGAGGGAAAACTCTGGAATGTTCTTCTCTCACTCTCTGAGAATGAGCTGAAGGAGAGTTCCCACAATGATAAATGATAGAGGGAAAACAGGGCAACAAATTTCTCCAGATTGTGTGTATATGCCATTTATGACTACATGACTACAAGAAAACTATGAAAGACAAAATTGGGGAGGGGAAAAAAAAACACACACACACAAACAAACAGAGACACAGTGGCATGGATTTTATGAAATTCATTAAATGGCCCTAATATGACAAAAATCAATACATTATTAAATGTGTAATTTACTCTTGTTGGTACATTTCTCCTATGCTTAATAAAGCAGCAATATCAGCAATTATTTATATATCTACATAATCATTTAGACAATGTATTGATAATACCGTTACAATGTTTTGCATGTACGTTTATTATTATTAATATTTCGTTGTTGTTTTTTTCTTTACAGATTGTCTTTTTTTATGAATGCAGGGACTCATATTTTCAGAGAATCATGAAAAACCTAAAGTAGCTAAATTTGGACAGTTTAACGTGTGTGATTAAATTATAGGTCTACATACGCATAATAAGCCAGCCATACAGATATTTGATTTCCACATCTGAATGTTATTTCCGTGTTTAGAGAACATGGCTAATCAGCAAATTACGTACTTGTTTCTCTCAGTCCAGCGGTAATAGTTGATTAATCAACTTCTCAGGGCTTGTTTTGACATTGGAGATAAACCAGTGGAAAACTTCATCCGTCTCAGGCCGAGGAAGTGCCGCTCGTTTGTGAGGGAATACTGCCACCTATTGGTCAGTCTGAGAACATGCAGCTTCTAAACGCACACACTGTGGAAGCAAACAATCAGCGTAGTTCGCATCAGTTACTTTGTTGTTGTTTTTCTAGCACAAGACTTCTTTACAGTAATATTACTCCGGCTCCAGCATTAAACAATCAGGTACAACCACGTTTAGAAGAAAAACATTGAAAACTTTAGCATATAATAATGACGAACGTGCTCAATGTTATTACTAAAAGTGCCCACAGGGTGGCAACACAATGACAGAACCAAACTGCAAGTACCTCAAAACATTTAGAGCCTCAGATGATCATTCAAAAACACACGTGTTCTGAAGATGTTTTTGCGCTCTCTCAGGTGAAAGGACAAATTAAAATTTTGTAATTTGTTTGTTGTAAAAAACAAAAAATTGATAATATTTTTTTCTGACACTTTTACAATATTAAAAAAAGGAAACATAACTAAACTAATAAAAAAAAACATTAGATCTACTTTTACCAATCCCAAAGCTTTATTTTTATTCACTTAATAATATACAGCTCTACATTAACCGCTCAGCTGAAATACAAAGTCCAAGATGCATACACAGGATTGTGTGAGAAAAAAAAAAAACTTTTGTAATTATGCTTTTATCAAGGGCTACAAAGTACCCAACTTTAACAATGTATATATACTGTTACCAGCATCCTGTGACATAATCAGCAAATACATTCATCATATTAAATACCACGGTCACCAGTATTTCTTGGTGTTGAAATGTCCTAAAGAGAAGTGTAAAATGTAAACTTGCAAATTACATTCAAGCATTTATTTCAAGTTTAAATAGATTTTTTATGCATCCTTCTTAAATTTATAATATCTATAGTTATACTTATAAAATTGGCAGTTGAGAAAGGCTGTCGCCACAAAACTTCAACATTTTCAACGAACGATTCCCTTTTGACATTCCGTCTTGACAGCCATAGTGAGCTGAAGAGGAGAATTCTGGGAAACGTCTCAGGAAAACAAAAGGCCTCGGATCCTCCTCAACAGACCTTCATGCATTCTTCTAAGTCTCTCCCTTTGCTACATTCACCCAGGAAGTCTTTCTCAGAAAGTTCTTCACCCAGGAAGTCTTTTTCAGAAAGTTGTTCATCCAGTGTCTCTGGTATAGGACCCTCGTCCATTTTCACTCCAGTCTTCGTCCTCTCTGTGTGGCCCTTTTACCAGGATGTGAAAAAGGGTCTCTTGCAGTGAAAGGTCTGGGTAAAAGCATTGCCCAGTTGGACCACACGACCCTGGCCTCCCCCGCGGCTCCTCTCCACCACCACACGAGGCATCTGCACTAACTGGATGGGGCTCTTCCCGTCTTTGAAAGCCTGGGTCAGGTTTAAGATCTATTCGATAAGAAAAGACAAGTATGATAATACATACATGATTTTACAGTTTGCTTCAAATACTATATACAGTACTTTTCAAACCTTCGTTTTTAATTACATAAAATTATATTATAATTATATTTGATCATTTTTATTCAGCAAGGATGCATTACTTTATCAAAGTGATAGTAAAAATCTAGTATATATATATA